ATATATATATTCTTTGATTAGGGTTCCGTTTTTGCTTCAAATTTGTGGTGTCGGACATCCCCCCACCTTCCACTGCTTGTTGTCTCCTTCCCATACCTCTGCCCTGTTGTTATCGCCCTACCACACCTACTCTTGCTACTGCCTCCCCTACTTGCACCTATTCTTGTTGTTGCTACACCGCCTTCACCTCTCTGGTTGCTATCCAGTCACTAGCTCACTCATCCCTCGTTGCTGCTAAGCCTCCCTTCACACTTCAACTCTCCTTTTGCCCATCTTGACGCACAATTCACCCCTTTTGATCCTAGCCCTAGAGGGAACTTTGTGTTTGCATCATTTTTCTATTTTTTATTATCTTTTGTTTGTAAGCCCCTTTGAATTTCAACAATTAAATTATTATTCTATTGTGATTTTGGTTTACTTCGGTATCATTCAGTTCAAACAGGAATGGCAGAGATGAGTGTTTGTTTGTAGTTTGGCTTTTTAATTTTCTTGAGTTTGTATATTGGTACGGGATAATGAGAAGAGCGGGAGTAATTAACGGTCGTTTTATCCTTCGAATGATTCGTTTGAATTTGGATTTAATTTAGATAGATGAGGTATGATTATAGTTTTTGGAAATAATTTTAATTTTGAAAAGTGAGACCGAGCGGACCTCACATATATGATAGTTTAAGAGGCCGAGCGTGATATCACAAGTAGTACACTATCCCGAAGGATATGCATACAACTTGTTGGCAGAATTAGACACTTAAACTAAAAAAATTGTGACATCTGTTTGGTCCGCGAAAACCTTTTTATAAGCCGACAAATTCCCTCATTTAATACGGGAGATTAAATAGGGTTTATCTTAAGCTGAGTTCTTAAGCTCCTTATAGAGACAAATCCATATGGTTAATTACATCTTAAATGATCGAAATCACTTAAGCAGACTCTCGATTAAGATCAGTGGTTTTGCTTTTAAGATTGTAAAATTTAGGTTTCCAAGGATAAAATATGAGGAAATCAAAAGGAGGAAGACTCAAAATATGAACCTTTATTTTTAGGAGTAAACGAAGTGAAAGGTAGGAGATGTCACAGATCCGGTGAAACCCTGGTGACTTCCCAACTATCCAACGATTGGACCTTAACTCTAAAGAGATCCTACACCTCGTCGTCGTGGTCTCGATCGGCACCCTCCGTCCGCTTGCTTCCACGCTCCGCTTTTTGGAAAGACTACTCTAAGCTCCTTAGCAGATGGATTATAAGTTCAGTGTTGTGGTGTGTATAAATGTACAATTTTTGGGTCAGTGGCTCGCTACAAGGTACCTCCTAAACCAGGTGTCCTATTGGCCTCTAACCTAAAAGTTCCTTGCAAGTCTGTAGAAACAACATGAGTTATAAAATACATGTGACGTGGCACAGTAAACAGTAAATAGGAATATTGTAGACATGGACTATGTGTATATGCAGTAAAGTATGCAATGACAAAAGTAAATGCTGTAAACGTTAAACAAACCTGTATACCTAACGGGTCGGCGGCTCCCGAAAAGACTCGAGAACAGTGTCGAGAACAGTGGCAGAGGACCCACAGTAACTCGAAGAAAACCGTCGAAGACATGAGGAAAATTTAGAGAAAATCATGAGTGCTTTACAAAGATTTCGATAAAACCGTAGGAAAACACACAAAAATCCAAAGAAAGAGAGAAAGTCGTAAGCATTCGGGTCGGGCTAGGCTCAGAATTAGGTATTCTCGAGGGACTCCGAATGCAACTATTGGTCACCCGTATGTATAGAATTCGACATTCAACTAAAAAGGTGTCATACTATACCAACTTAGGAGGGTACTCCTTAGCCCAATACCGACGATTGACAAGTGGACAATCGAATTATATTATTTAAAATTTATATTTTAACATGCGTGACTTCATGCATACAAGAAAAGTAGTGTCAATTTTGGTAGTCAAAATACTTTAGAAAGTAGTGACAATCGAATTATATTATTCGCGCACAATTCGACATATCAAAATGGGTGTCTCCCCAAACTAAACTCGACATCTCAGACGCGCCGGCGCAGTCCGTTTCGTCATCCGGGGTCGCCCGGACAACTTCGTCGATGGTCGAGTCAAAAACTCATCAAAATTCAAATTCCTTTGAAATTCTTGCTCGTGATCGATCGTAGAGCCTTCTATGGGTGCGGGAGACATGAATTTTGATAACTGTGTGCATCGATGCGTGAATTGTGGTACTCGTGCATCGTGAGTGTGCGCGAATAACATGAAGGATTTCCTAGGGTTTTAGATCCTATGTGTACTCAACTCGAGCTTCGTCGCGTTGGTTTTAATCGAGTCAACTAAGCGTCGAGGATTTCGAACCGGTCGCATGAAACTGCGAGGAGTCGAGAAGTGGCTTGAATCTCTAGTTGGTGCGGGTCCTAGTCTAGTCCTCTAAGAGAGTCGGTAGGAAATCCTAAGGCTAGATCCTAGGATCTAAGAAAAGTAAGAGACTTCACAAAAAATGAGGTCAACAGTAATCTCAGCATTCTGGAGTATGAGATCAACAGTAATCTCAGCATTCTGGAGTGGGAGCAGCTAAAGACTTTTTTTTTATTTTAATCTCTTTTTTAAAAAAAATTCAAGGTTAACAATATGGAAGTGGTTAGTCCAGGAAGGACATCATGATTTGGTAAAAAATCATTAATAACATTTTCATTGATTCGTTATTCTAAATCTATGACACTGAAGGTTTACATTATAAATATTAGATCTTACCAGTTTAGTTTGCCATTAATAATCTTTGCCAGGCTTTGTTATGGATAATAGAGTTATTTCTCTTTCTTCATTAGTATTTGATGTTGAAAAACCAATTTATTATCAGAACAGTTTCAGTGGATCTTAACTGTATGTTATCTTGATTTCGGATTATTAATTTTTCTCATCTAAAACAACATTTGATTTGCAAATTAATAGTTTTGTATATAGCATAGGCTTATAAATTTATTGCGTTGTACCAATGCTTGAAAAATCTACCTTTTCAGTTTTTCTTACTCAACTTCCTTTTCACCAGCAGGTCAATGTATATCGTACTTTTTGACCTTATGCAGATTGTTAAGCTCATTTCTTCTAGCCTAATTAAATCATTAAATTTTTAACAAACTTGATGTTGTTTATGTAAATTGTTTCATTAATATCAATGAAATTTTTGACCTCTTTAATTTTATTTCAGGCACGAATCCATGATGAAAGTTTGCGTTATGTTTTGTCAGATTATGCCATTGTCAACTTATCCATGAATGTTCCAACAAGCCCGGAAAAGATATTTGAAATTATAGAAGAAGCTGATTTCAGTTATAATTCTCAAAGTAGCTACCCTTCCTTTTTATCTCCATCACCTGTTGTTAGAACCCATATAGATGAACTTTGGTTGCTCCTTCAATATCCTGATTCGGACATTAGTGATGTGCTTATGAGACATCAACAAAAGCACTTAGATACACTTGGCTGCTGTCCTCTATCAATTTATAATTATTCTCTTTTATCGGAGATCACTTTGAAACAAAATGTTACACCTTTCTCATGGCAAAGTGGAGGAAAATCCACTGCAACAGCTGGTAGGAAGTCGTCCCGTGAGCATTTTGTTCAGAAGTTCTCTTGCAAATCTCCAGTTTACCATAATTGCAGGATATATGCTAATGATGGACGACTCCTTTGTTATTGTGATCGCCGAAAGCTGGACTGGTCTGTAATCCTTCAATTTTTACTTGAAAGCTATTAATACACTTAATTGAGTTTTTTTATTTCATGTTTTAGGTACCTTCAACGTGATTTAGCGAAGATTGTAGAAGAGGAACCTCCTGCAATAATGCTTCTTTTTGAGCCTAAAGGGCGCCCAGAAGATGAGGGTAATGAATTTTACATTCAGAGCAAGAAGAACATATGTGTTGGCTGTGGCGAAAAAAATCACTATCTTCGCTACCGAATAATACCTTCTTGCTATCGAATGCATTTTCCAGAGCATTTGAAAAGCCATCGTTCACATGATATTGTTCTCCTCTGTGTTGATTGTCATGAAAATGCTCATGCTGCTGCTGAGAAGCACAAAAAGAAGGTAGCGGAAGAATTTGGTATCCCTCTTTTTGTGGAGAAGATTGCTGATTCAGAAGAAAGCAATGCTGTTATGGTGAAACAATTGTCTGAAAGAGGAGGTGAGGAGAAAGGTGTCCCCCCCTTGCAGCTGAGAACTGCAGCCATGGCACTTCTCCGCAATGGATCCCACATGCCATCAAAAAGGAAGGATGAGCTCATGCAGGTTTCTGCTGACATTACAATCTCTTTTTTTTTTTTTTTTTTTTGAAAGCCCAAAGGCTAATATATTAAAAAGAAATAAGGATATGTATAGATTGTGTGGAAGGGCTCAAGCATAGCACCCTTCCTCCATAATAACCACCACATACAAAAAGTTCCAAATAGGAGAAAATACAGAAAATTACATGAGAGACCTATGGAAAAAAACAAAAAAAAGCCAAAATACATAGTATCAGGTAGCTAGAGAGCGACCCAATGTTGCTTTGTCTTTGCCCCTAGTTCTAGGAACGGAGCCAGCTAAAATAAATTGGTATGATGAGTGCCATTGTCAGTAGTGACCAAAATTTCATCCAATAAGTTCCCGAGCTCGAGTCGGCCTCTAGTCTTCTTTTTATCATCCAATAAGTTCTCGAGCTCGAGTCGGCCTCTAGTCTTCTTTTATTCCTCATCTGAAGATTGACTCGCTTGATCAGTGGATTGGTCTAAAGTGTGTTGGACATGTATAGGATGTTGAACATTAGAAATAACTGATTGTTGTACCAACTGATCTTTTATTAGATCAAAGAAGCACTCTCGTGTGTCTTGGCATGTAAGTGAGTCTTCTTCAATAATAACGAGTAGTATAAGCACTTTTGGATCTTTACCTGTAGTATGGTGTTCTTCTTCAGGAACTGCGATGTTGGATAGAGGATCGGGTTGCACCTTCTCAGCCGGGATGGTAAATGGCTGATCTTTAGCGATATTTGGCCTTAGATAAGGATGCAAGTGATAGCAAACAGTAGAACTGTGACCAAACATATTCAATGAGAGCAATAAGGAGGGTGTGATTTTAGTTCAACCTTTTGCCAATACCCTTTGTGAGTGGTTCCAATCCATACCTCATCTGGAGCTGGTTGAGTGATATCTCTCTCAATTAACACACAAGCTACAGAGGGTCTGGTGACAGCAAGCGTACGACTATTAACATTGAGAGACTTACCGTAAACAGTTGTTAAGGAGTAGAGAATTTACAAGTTGAACAAATGTAATTTTAACTCCAGAAACTTTATCCAAACAGGAATGATAGGGGACTCTGCTTTTGCATCAAAATTGACAATCCATTTCACAATTTTCATAAAACGGTTTTCAATCTTGATAACTTTTCGAGAAAATATACGAGTGTAATCGACATCATAAGATAATTGAATAAGTATATATCGACCGTCAAGTAATCCAATATTCCAACTGTCAAATAGCCTCATAACTTCAAAATCTTTTCTAATGATCTCATGTTTTGAGTTTCCTTAAAGGAATTTTCCCACTATAGCAAAACGCCAAGAAGACGCGAGAATGCTAGTTTCAACTTCAGTGAGAATAATAGCAGGCTTTCCGTTTTTTTACCAAGCTTTTTAATAAAATTTTGATCCCCACCACCCTCAAGAACCTCATGGAAAGATTGTGGAACATTGCAGGACTTGCCAATATGGAAACCAGACTCCGAACCCGCGGACACAACACCTGCATAACTCTGCTCCATCCGAGTGTAGCAAACGGCGTAGCCGAACAAATCGCTGTGCAGTGCGAAGGAGGAAACCGAGCTGTTCGTAGAGAAGAAGAAAGTAGCAGCAGAAACAAAATTGTGGGAGTTGCTGTCGAGCAGAAACAGTCGCGGCGTAGCTGCCGAGCGGAAGTCGCAAGCACTACACACGACGACGAGGCACAATGCAGCCAATGCAAGGTCGCGAAGCTCTGCCAGACACGACGACTGCACGACGCAACCAGACAAATGCGAGCTCCTCAGCCAGACGAAGCCGAAAACGAAATTGAAGCGGTGGAAATCAGAGTACGACGCGATATTCACACGTAGCAGACGCTAGGGTTTGCCGTAAGGCAAAACCCTAGCAGAGCAGAGATGACGAGATATATATATATATATAGTTAAAAAAAGGAAATGACATTACAATCTTAGATTACCTATATTTTATCATAAGGTTTATTGTCTTTTTTAGTAAAGAATAGTTTTATTGTTAAGGATTTAATCTCTGTTATTTTTTGGGTGGTCAAATGCTTATTGCAAAAACATTTCCTAGGATAATTCTAGTGCAATTTGTTTCCTGATGGCGTTTCAATTTATAGAAAACATTGGGGAAATGTAATGCCGATTACCCTTTTAAACATGCAATCCTGAATTGATATGTTACTTTCACATGTTCTATAAGCTTTGATATAGGATCTAAAATATCAGTCACGATTTAATTATTAACTTTAAGCTGTATGAACAACCTGGTTTTCTCCTGTGTATGTCTTATGTGGCACTTCTTTGTTTCATTTACTACTGTCACAATCTGGCCCGTGGTTTAGAGTTAACCAAGATGGGAACAGACTTTTTGACGGTGAAAATCGATTATCTATTATTCTAATTCTATCTCTAACAATTTAATATTTAAATAATACATGAAAGAGTCATGAAAAAAAATAATTAAAATTAATAAGTAAAAATTTGTACATTTTCATTTGTTTTCGTTTTCTATACATATTTGCTCTTTTCTATTCATATTGTTCAAATATTTAAAACCTAAAAATTATATTAAAGCAACATAATGAGTAATCTAAAAATAACACATGAGTAATTGTAATTCTAAACTACAGTAATCTAAGGAAATTTCTAAACTACAGAATTGTCTAGGGTGGAAAGACACTTACCTACTTCTGACCAAATTATCTCGTCAGCATAACAGTTAGTAATGTAAACATTAAAATTGTCTGGGGAGATAAGCTCTGATTTACTCACCTCTCGTAAATATTAACTCATCGGCACAAAGGTTAGTGAACTAACTATAATAATTGTCTGGGGTGGTAAAAAAACCCTACGCTCGCAGGTACACTGATGCCCCTTACTTGTACCATTGATGGGTGAAATCCTCCTCTGTACATGCACATGCAAACATTCATATATAAACAATTTCATTTTTCATACATATATTATTCTGCAACATTTCTATACAATCCACTGACATGCATATTTTTTTGTTGTGCTATTATTCATGCATATATTTTATATCATTAATATATCTATCTCATAAATATCACTTACTTATATCATACATATATTTTCTACATGTCTAACATATAATTTTTATCTAAATATCATTCATGTCTTGCATAACTTTCATGCATGCACGTCATTTCCTACTATGTTGATCATATATATCTTTTCTATCTAAAAATATGAAGAATTTATTGTAATATAAATCTAACTGAAATAAATTAACATAAATTCTGAAATAAAGAAAATTACTAAAATTATGAATTACTCGCCTTAATTGACACTAAAGTATTAATCTTCGACAGTTAGCTGGAGGTTGCGGTGGCTTTAATTGAGCTTAATAACCAATAAAATATAATATTTAATTTTTTTAAGATTTAAACAATTTCTATGAATTAAATTATTTTTTTTTAACTTGGGATTAATTTACCTGATATTTACATGGTCGCTTTACGGTGAATGTTCACACTCTCGCCTTGAGACTTCTGCCTCGGTAAACAACCTATAATTCGCGATTAACTTCAGATTTAAAGATATCTTGGCTAAGAAAGTAATTTAACTAAAAATATAAATGATTTGCTAAAGCATACCTTAAATAGTTTTCTTGGCGACTAATTCTTCTCCAAAGCTGTCAAATTTACTTTCCATCACCTCCGACTACACTTCTCCTATGTTGATATCGTGCTAAAACTCTTTTGGAAGCTTGCAAAATACGTTTGGCGCTTCCGACACACAATCTACTCCTCTGATGGGTACCAAAAAGGAAAAATACACCGAAAACGAGTCAAAACTCAAAATGAAAGTGAGAGAAAGAAAAGGATTTCCTCAAATGTCGTGAAAAGGGGATTCACACTTAACAAAAATTACCCCGGAGCCTTAAACTGCATCTTACCGCTTCCACTATGTCGCTCGACCTGTCTACTACCCGTGGCCCTTGCACTGTAGCAAGGGTTGCAGCTTCCTTGCCGCTTATGCTGTACAGGAAAGGAATAAGGAGGGGTATCAGCAAGGGGGAAGGGTCAGGAGAGTAAAATCGGAAGCGAGGAGTGGATCGTGGCTTACCAGGTGGCCGCTCAGTCGTCTCTGCTACAGTGGCAAGATCGGAACCCTTCCGTCGAGTTGCTACGATCGCGTGAGGGAAAAACTAGGATGGAGAGCGTCCGAGCAAAACAGAGAGGGAAGGAGTGGAGTTCGAAGATTTTGAAGCCCCTCATGGTAAGTCAGTGGGCACAATAATAGTGTGGGATTAAGGTTAATTAAGAGTTTAATTAAACTTATTAATTTTAAATTTTTTTTATCTTCCAGCTTATTCAAACTTTATATATAGTATTATATATCATATTGTTTGATTTGATGCATTGAATTTTTTAAAATTAACTCAGTTGAAATATGAACGGTGCAAAACCAAAAATTTTCTTCAATTTCACAAAAATTGGTTATTAAAAACTTCTTTTATAAAATTTCGTCCTCTAAATTCATGAACTCCATATCAACTATGAAGATGAAACATAAATGAATACAAAAAGCTATTTCTTGTCAAGTGATAACTAAAGCATATGTGATAAACTATACATCTGATAAATCCAACATAACACCCAAAAGACAATTTATCCATCAAACTATGTATCCGTATTAGTGGCAACAAGCTGTTCTTATTCCTAAGGATTCAAGGAATAAACTTTTGGGTGAATGTTCTGTCTTGGTTGCTCCTTACGAGCCACTGTATCAGCTTCTTCCATCCTTTGCTAATCACATCTAGAAACATATCCTTCTTGAAATTCCTTTGAGCTGGATCCCTTCCTAAATGAACATCTAATGTGGATCTCTGAACAGCATAAGGGCAATTTCTCCTTTGATATTCAGACTGCCTACATAAGTAACACACCTTAGACCCAAGTAAACATTCGCCACGATATTGTTTTCCACACTTAACACAGGACTGTATAGTACTACTGACAGTCTAGCTAATAACTCCACCA